TCATATTAATTAATTTTCATCCTTTTCACCGCTTACATACACTTCAGACAGGTGGTTTGCACGTTACGTCATCGCCGCCATGTTGGTGGACATAAACAATAGACATCTCATTAGCACTTTTTGTTCGTCTTCCAGCATTTGTTCCTTTCTCCGTTGTTACCTGTGTCTCTGGAGATTGGTTGCAAACCACCTATTTGCACTTTGTTATTAGTTATTAGCTCTATTATTTATATGTAAATACTTAGCTTTTACCTTCATTCCACTGTTTCAGAAATCGTATATATGCGGAAATTTACTCATGAACTCTAACTTGAAAATGACCGTGGAGCGGTCGAAACGTCTTTCATATTTTTTATCGCTCGTTTTTATCACTATATGTTTGAGTAAGAACTTATTACTTCTTGTGTAATTTGTAATACAAACAAAAGCGTTACCCGCCCCACGAGATCCAGAAATTTTGTTTATCTGAAAAATTTACTCGTGTTTATTTATTTATACCAAATTGCACTTGAAATCATATGATTACCTGACTACAAATTTGACTAGTTTCGACCTCACCTAATGGTTTACCTCCATCCTGAAAGTTTTTGATGCATATCTCTCCCATAAATTTACTTCAAGTTCCACTAATTTACCACGTGATGTTTGAAAACGAACACAAAAACAGACCTGAGCCACCTTGACTTTGAGTGATTGACAGACAACATTAAAATAGCGCGCCTAGATTGGTGTGTCGCAGACAATCCTTCCGCTTATGCTAATAGTTCATCAGTCGTGAAGTGGGTTGAAAACGTCGTAGAGTTGAAAATGGCTTTGTGAAGCTCATTGGCAATCAGGTAAGAACTGAGACCCAAAATTATCGTAACTTTGCCGTTATTAGTAGAGCAAAAACATGGAAAACATGACGGTGAGGCCAGCAAACATGCATTTAATCTGTATATACGCATCAGTTGATTTCAGCGTAAGAGGCTTATTCGCCCGAAAATGTGAGTACTTTTTTTTTGCCAGCAAAAGACCATCTGTTGACAGTCTGAAGTTTATCGCATACAAATCGAATACAGAAGCGAAATTGAGTTAGTCTTGTGGTAAGGAATAAAAAGATAACTTTACAAATTTGGAGATGTTCGTTCACAAGCATGATATTTTGATTCGTGTTTGAAAAGAAAAATTGCGCTTTACTTCTAATATTACCACAAAATGCAAAGTTTTATTTCAGAGAGCTCTACATACACGTACAACTCACCATTTACATATCAAATGAGGTTCAGGTCAATCAAAACATATCAAATAGAGAGAACTCCCTGATAAGTCCAAGCATTTATCACGCAAGCTCCCATTGTTTCAATTAATTTTAAGTAAAAGTTCGGAGGATTGCGCCTGCAATTAACATGTGTTGATTATTCGCCCACAAGCTCGCTTTTCGATCATCTTTCTTGATTAATAATCTCGATCTTAGGCTTCTGAACTCAAAAGTGATTGACTTTACATAGACCGTCAATCAAAAGCGTAGAAAAAAAACCTTTGCACCATGATTAAAGTATGTTTTCAAAGCTTTGACAGCTTCTTGATCTTAATCTATTATCATGGTGAAAAAACGACAACTTTTTCCATAGAGGTACAATTTGATTGAACAGGTGCAAATTCACAATTTTTTTTCTAGATTATAACTTCCTTGGGCTAAGGAAAGTACGACGCACAGTACCTAGACAGAGAATTTCTCTGTTTTTCATCTTCCTTCACGATTATTAAAATTTCAAGAGACATACATCATCGTACTGGTAGACAATCATCCTTAGGTAACATTTGCGTTTTATCTTCACATTTCTTGAAAAAAAAAAAGATCCATAATAGTAACCTTTTTTATTTCTCTTGGTCTCTCGTTGTAAAATGCATATTATACTGAATTTCTATGCTTTTCATAGAATTCCGTTTTTGTTACAGGTCATTCTGGCGAACAATAATTTTCAAACACGAAGAAAACATGAACCTCGACCTTCATAACTCCAACTTTTTTTAAAAACTTTGCATAATAGTAGGAAAGAGTCTGTTTGCATGATGACACCGTTCAAATAGATGTAAACACTACCATCCATGTATTTTCTCTCAATTTTCAAACTAGCCTGTAGCGGAGCAGCCGCCCTTTTATTAGCACTTCAGCATGAGTATTTCTTAGCGCGGAAAAGTATCCGGCCCAACCTCGTTCCCAGGGCCTTTTCCCAGGGCCTTTTCCCACCCCCAACTCCACCCCCAACTAAGGGAAAAGGCCCTGGGAACAAGGTTGGTGTCCGACCTTGAGCAACGCGAGCCGGTGAGAGGTCTACAAGGGTCTTGATTTAAATGGATACTTAAAAATCAGGTTTCCAAGTAAGGACTGGAACCTATTATTATTTTCGGTAAATAAAGCAATGAAAAATAATTATAGGCTATAGTCCTTACTCGAAAACCTGATTTTGGAGTATCCTTTCAAGTCACGATCGGTCTAGCGCTGGAACCGAGGTCAGGCTACTACGCAAACTTCTCCCCAACTTAATTCCCCTCGGGCGGAAAAACGGGAGCCTGCTCGCAAGCAGGAAAAGAACGTCCACGTGACCGGCAAATGGCTGCCTACAAACCTGCTCATGGGCAGTACCGTCTAAGCGTGTTTTGTGGAAAGCAATGTTCTGCTTAAAATAAGATTTATGTCGGTTATTGCAAAATGTGTCATTTGTCAAAGTTTCACAGATCAGTTATTTCCTTCAGCCTTCGGCGTAGAAATATAAGTGAACATCTTAACCTCACCTCGATATTTTTTCTCAACTTCTTCCAGTGATTGTAAAGTGTTTTGGTATGAAGTTGCGATACTAGTTAATTCACCAATCAGAGCGCGTGCTTTGCTTTGTTATGTTTTAATGCCAGTTGGCGATCAAAATTGAGATATTGACATTAACCTAATGGAAATTGATAAATTGCAGTTTCCTCTCACCTCAGTAGAGATCCGTTTAATTTGTACTGTTTGAAAATAAGTGGCATACTTGAAAATACAGTCAGGATACCTAGCATGCTGTAAGCGTTAATGTTACTATGACAGAAATATTCTATATATTACACCGGGGCAGACGATGGATGCATTTATGCGAGTGCGCTGGAAAGTTAAAAAAAATGATCGAGAGTTAAAAAAAAAAAGAAGACATTTCGGTGGCGTATCAGTGAATGAGACCTGTCGATGGTGTTATACCACGTTGATAACTCTTTCAGTTCTTTTAGCTTCAAACGTACTAAAAGATCAAGTCAGTTTCCATTAAAGATTTAGGGCTTTTGCTAGATTTGACAAATAATTTTAAGAGCAAGTAAATGATCGTTTTGAGACATTTTGGAAAACGTGGTTTGAGAAGAATCTTCAAATCCAATTGCTCTAATTGTAGATGATGGTAAGAGTACATTGAACCATTTCTCTTTCAAGGAAACTTAAAATCTCTTGATTGCACGAGTTGTGGTAGAAGGAGACATTAAGTCTTACAAACTGTCTGAAACTCTAATGATTTCCAGTAAAAAGTGGTTAATAGAGCGTTAGGGAGGTTGCAAACGTTTTTCTAAGAGGAAAGTTTTAAATTGTATTACTTACACATATATAATTTTCCGTTTACAGGGCAAACCAGGAGATATTCTTTTCTTTTTTTTATTATTTGATATCAACATTCGTAATTAATGCATAATCGATCAGCCAGCGAGATAAAATTTCATTTCCGTAAGTCTAGTCACCTTAATGGACAGCAATTTCCGCTGTGAAAAGTAAGGAGAGATTTAACATGCATTAGCTAAAGTTTATCATAATCTGCATTTATTATTTTATCGTTGTACTGGGAGATATCGTGTTCACTTAGAATGTTTTGCCAAGGAGATAGATGTGGCTAGTGCGTTGCGCCTCCTGTTCTGCGCATGTAATAGCGTGCGCGCTTAATTTGCCATCCTCGTTAAGCTGTACATCTTGAAAAACAAAACTACTGTATATCTGAGATATTACTTGTATAATTTGTAATCGTTAAGCGGTACGTAAGGAAAAGAACCAAATATGTTAAATTTTTCTTGTTGATTTATCATTCATCTATAATTTTAATAAGTTTCAATTAAAAACGACCACCAGCTTTCTTTACCTTTCGTCATGCATATTGATAATGATTTGACTGGGTGTCAGTTTTATCGTCAAGTTGATATAAGAAGTTAGACCTGATTACGATTCAAAGATTGGGCCATGGAAATGAGTTTAAATCTAAATGCTAATAACTCCGCTTTAATCATACTAAGCCTTCGATGTTTTGCGCGTAAAAAAGGTTTCGCTACTTTGGTAAGTCAAGAACATTTTCTCTTCCAATTTGCTTGAAATTTCCATTCGTATTTGATAGAAGTAGTATAGGGACTATAAGCAAACCACGACGGCTACGGCAACGAGAACGTGGATAAACAATAGATTTAATTGGCAGAACAATAGCCAAACACGTGCGTTTTAAAACTTTGCACATTTCTTAGCCGTCCTTTGCAAAACAACAACGTGAAATCACCAAAATTTGCGTCGTCTGCGAAGCGAAACCGCGGCGGCAAATTATTTTAATTTACATTTGGAAATCAACGGTACTTTTATGTGTTATTTTGAGTTTGAGGTCTGCGCCCTATGAGACAGTAAACTCATGCAGCCATTTTGGAAACTCCAACTAAAAGTAGAAACTCGCTTTTTAATCGACGTCTTCCGTGGCGTTGCCGTCCTGACTGCTTAAGGTGCCTATTCATTTGGAGAGACGATACGCCACTTGTTATTGCGAAAACTCGAAGTTATAGGACCGGCAGTCGACAAAGATTGAGAGATTCGCGTGATATTCTCAAACCGGCTTTGGAAGCAAATAAGTGATGAATCAATTCACCGACGACGTCTTTGCAAAACGGCATCAACACGATTGCAAAGCGGCGTCAACAGGAGTTCTGGCGCTCTTCGAATTCATTTCGTTTGGAATTTAAATTGACGAATGTGCCTGTCAAAGGGTCAAATTGACATTTTCAAGTCAAAACTGCGATCATCTTAATTCATCTAGCTCGTATCCGTTATTTAATTCTGCATGATAAAAGATATAACATCAAAGAGAGTTATTTTCCTGTCAATTCAATAAAACTGAGTCATGATCATTTTTGACATATCTTCCCGTACGCGTATGTTACCCTTAATTCTCGACTTTTTATTAGTAATTCAAATCATGATCTCTCTGACGAGTAAATAACAATATAAAACTCGATGGAATGTGCGTGAACAAAGTTCTGATCGGCACTTTGAGGAATTGTCGCGAAACACACAAACTTCTTTTTTCTAAGATAAATGCAAATTTAAGATCGAAAAAGTGTTAATAAGAAAAAAAATAATGATTGCATTTAGACCACCTGCGCTAAGCATCGTTATAAATACGCCCTGAGGCGAAGTTTATGTTCTTATCTTTAATTTTTGAGTTTTGAGTAGTATTAATAGTTTCTTAACGACTTTTATTAATTTTTCACTTGAAAATCTCTATCTTCATCAATGTTTTGATCTTTTTATGGTCATGATGCCCTCGGGGGTTTGTTCAAACTTAAGATCAAGAGAAAAAATTTTTTTTCTTAGTCCCACTTCCATTTTTTCCCCTTTATTTTAGATTATGACATTTAATACAAGAAAAATAAACTTAAAAGAAAAAAAAATCGTTTTAGCCGGTAAACATAACCCACGTTTCGATGGGCGGAGTGGAAGTAATATTCAACAGACAGTAAACAGTTTACCGCATTCTGAGTGGCTTGTGGATAACAAAATTGAGATTAAAAAGCGTCATCGCCGTATAGCCTAAAAGCACCAATATCTTTGACTGAATCGGAACTTCCGTTTGAAGATTGCTCAATGCACAAACAAGTGTGAACCTATATTAACTTATAGCGGGCAAATTCGCTAGTCGAGTCGACAATATTTGGAGACGTCTGATTATCTTCTAGGGTAATTTTGTTTTTCGGCACCTGCGAGGACTTCTTCATTTTAACAACTGATCTAATAAATATTCATAAAATTAAAGAATTGTTAAATGAATCGTGAGAAGTTAGTAGGTAGCTGGTGATACGCGGCCGGCTTACAGTTTGTCGAGAGACTCGCCAGAACGTTTTTTGAATGTTCAAGCGAACTCATTGAGCATCGCGCTGTTGGAAGTCTGACCCTTTATCATAGATGGATTCCCAATCTGGCGCATGATCACACACATTTATTCATAATTTTGACTTCCTGCTATTGTCTGTTTTTGCCAATGATCAGCGACATATGATTGTTTTCAAATGTGGACCGGAATAAACTCCTTAACTCTATAGATACTTCCATTCTTGAAACAATTAAAAAAAGGGAAAAAAAGAAACAAACTGAGAAGAAGAAGAAAGAACGAAACCACGAGGAGTTTTGGCAATCAGTCAACCAGGAAAAAACCTCTTCAGAAGGCCCAACATCAATGGTCGCAGTTGAGGGTTGTTCGCTTAAAAGAAAAATTAAGGAGCTGATTAAGAGGCATCCGCCAATACGAGTTATCGTATAAAGTAACATGTCTTGAATCAGACGAGAATAAGTACTTTTGAAGCCTTTGTATCTTGCTCACTCTCACAGAAGCTTTCGCGAAATTTCTCCTCGTCGACGTCGACTCATTTATTATCACTAACCGCTAATTAAGAACAGAACTTTGATTTCCTGACGTTTCTAGATACGACAGCTAGAGATCATCACGTTTACGTCATTCCGGCCCTGGCATCGAAAGTATGAGGCGAACTCCTTGTTTAATTAAAAGCATAAAAGAATCTCGTCAAATGTCAGAAGAACACTTGAAAAGTAATTAGCCCGGGACGACGATCAAATTTTTTTCTGATCTTTTCCCGGCCGCTTCGAGTTGTGGTAAGTTTGTCAGCTTCCATTTCTACTGAATCCTTATTTAAAAATTATTTCGGAATTCAAGAGTGGATTAGCACCATATCGCTTGTGCAGTGGTCAGAATTCCGCTATCAAGACATACCGTCTGGCCACAAAAATTTGATTGCGATAATTTGGGAGCACAAAAAAATTGTCTTTATATCAACTAGGTGGTTGAATTACTAGTTGAAGGAGAGTTCTCTGTACGTGTTAAAATTCAAGTCATGTGGAGAGATTTGCCAGAATTAAAGGATTTTGTTAAGGTGAAGTCAGTTATTGCGCAAGAAGTGTGAATGGGCCAAGATCACAAGCCAAAATCATTTACGGTAAGACCTTTTCGATAGCAGCATGTATTGCTATATGAGTTAAAGCGAATGCATTGGCGTTATCCAAGCCATCCCAGCTGGATTTGATTAGTCATAACATTGCATTTTATTCACTCACGATGGAAAATTTGTCCCACTTGACAGCGTAGGTTAATTCTAGACGGTCTTAGAATATCAGAAAATTTTACCACTAAGGCGCTGATTGAGACAATTTTGGCTTAAAATACACTGATTTCAAACTGTTTGCGTACATGTATCTTAAATGGGCGAACTACTTGTGCCTTTGGCACAACTTGGAAAGAAGTGTCAAATATATCTTACAATAGTTACTGTTATGAAAAAAAGGAAACAAAGGAACTGGATGTCTGCGAAATTCAAGAGATATCTAATCTCATGCCATGTGCTGTTCATTCATTTTTAATTCGTAGGTCACTTTAAGCTTGCTATCGCAGTGACACCGATAAAAATAATTTACATTTGAGTCTGTGTAATGAAAACATGGGATAATTTGAAAGAAAACCGTTTATTTTGACAAGGGATTTATGAATAAGCACGACGATCTCATTTAAACTATTCCTTCCGCACCACATCTATACACAAGATTTTGACCACCAACGTAAAGCAAGGTGGAGAGCCGGACTTCAAAGGCATGCGAACAAGCGGAGAACGACTCGACGACCTTTCTTGCTAAGAATATTCACTCGATAATTTTTTTTTTTACCACAATTGGCAATCTGATCAGCCAATATGCCGTTCTTGATGAGAGTACAGACAGTGCTGAACGCGTCAAAGAGTCGCGCATTCGTCACGCACTCGTCACGCACTAAAAGAATCGTTTTATTTAACGTCGATATTGTGGTAAAAGACAAATCAAATTTGTTGCGGACTTAAGCTCATGAGTCCAGAACAGTTTGACCACTTTCGATGACGAATATGGTTGTCGATAAAAGTACAGACGACGCTAAACCATTGTCGATTTGTTAAGGAGAGCTATAATGGACAGACACGGAGAGCTTTAAAACCCGATGTCAGTCTATTTATGTTATCACTATCTTAGTAATTTGCTAGAGGCGCATCATATACAAGTCTTGAATTTACCCAGTTCACCTCAAACATCCTTATAGCCAAATGGTAGACTATTGGTGTGCGAATTCCTATGGTTCCTAGAGAGTTCGGATCTTTTTCTTTTCCAACGAAATTGAGTAAACAAGTTGAGTCGCTTTTTGTTTCGCGACCGATGAAATAAATATACCACATTTCTTAATAATTTGTTTAGTCAGTATGCATTACTTTTAAACTTATCTACATGTCATTTAAGGAGCTGTCAAAAAACATCAACGTCGGTAGAGCATGAAAAAACGTCGACTATCAATTTGGATTATGTAACCTGTTTATCGGCATCTTTAAAGGCGCCTTACCTCCTTTTTATCATACCGAAACAGAGATGACTTCCTGAAAGACACACTGATAATTTGGTCGAGATTCTCGTTTGTAGATGACAAGTACTAAATGTCGAGATTTCTACATTACACGCCATCGCCCAGTTTTGTTACTTTGCTGCTAAGGTTGGCTTAATTTAACATACAAACAGAAACAAATTACAAGATTAAACTAGTTATTCTTACATGAAGACATCGCTTGCCATTCATGGAAGTCACAAGATGTGATCTGCTGTTCCTAGTCCACTGTTCCTTATTTTTATTTCTGGTTTTCTACTAAAGGAAAGCTTGAGCTTAAAATAAAGACTGTAAAACAATAATTGAATTTGAACTGTTTGGTTTTTTCTAATGGCAAGCGATACAAGCTATAAGTTAAACAAAGAAAAGACGCCAATATTATTATGCGTTACAGATCTTTGTCAGTTTAGCTGACACGACAAACAAATTGTCGGTGGTGATTAATAATGGTCGAGACAAGAGCTGAATTTAAGAAGGTAGGTAAATTTTGTGGGCCAGTGGAATTTATGCTTCTGTCCAACTGCAACTGTCCTCGATACTCAATAATAACATTTTAGTTTTTATGCTATAAGATTTTGAGCGTTGAATTTTTTTTTCATACTTAATGAGACTGAAATTCAAATATTGACGCTAACATATTCGCAGCTGCTAATAATTTTAGTTGGAGACACATCACTAAGTTGAAATGCTATTGAAGGACGTTAATTACGCTAAATTGCGCCAGCCACAGAGACCATGAAAACCGAAAAACTTACACAGCCGGATCTAGATAACGAAGATGGTATTTCTGCTTATTACGATGTACAAAATATTTAGAAGACTCGTGTTCATCTTTCGCTTTCCCGCCAAAAGGTTCATTATTTTCAGCTGTTTCTTCAACAGACTCGATGACTTATTTATATGCACGAAAATTGTATCTGCTTTCTTATCAGTACTGACGTCATCGCTGAAACACCAAAGATCTATTAAGCCTCTTCACGAACAATAACCAAATACAAATAAACCTTGGTGCTTTGTGTCTCACTTTCCATAAACAAGGCTTCTTGTGAGGTAAGATGCGTTTAATTACGGGCACTTCTGCAGGTCTTTTGGCCAAATCCGATAAGAAACGCTACAGTTTTAGGGTTAAGCGCTTTACAATTAAGTCCCTTTTTTTGAAGTAAGGCTGAATTACCATGACCGGGTGAAAACAGTTTAATTGTTATTGTTTAAATTATCCTATTTCTAAAATCCACGTTGATTTATTCTCTGATATTCCTCTTTTGTTGCAGTGAGATGTTGCGCTAAAGAAACGCCATGTATGGGATGCTCTTGGAAAGCGTAGAGCATTTCTTGAAAGAGAAATACGGTGAAAAAAATTGGCACTTAATTCGTCTACGGACAGGAATTAAAAATCATGTATTTGTGACACACGAACGGTACTCTGATCATCTAATGTTGGAAATCGCTTCTGCAGCGGTAGACGTACTTGGGAATGAGACAAAAATGACCTCGGAAGATTTTATTCAATTTTTTGGGACGTGCTTTGTGAAGTTTTTCAGCAACTACGGTTACGACAGGTTTATACAAATAAGCGGCAGACATTTTAGTGATTTCCTACGTGGAATTGATAACTTGCACGAGCATATGCGATTTGCTTACCCAAAGCTTATGTCACCGTCGTTTTACTGTTCAGAGGAGACAAGCACGGGATTACTGCTACACTACAAATCTAAACGGACAGGATTCCAGCGATACGTAATGGGGCAAATCATGGAAGTGGCGAGTATGTTCTACGACATCGCTGTTGAGATGCAAGTACTCAACAGTACTTCGAGCGAGGCCGGTTGTCACGTTGTGTACAAACTTAATTTCGACAACTTGGCTTTTAAACCTCCTACGCCTGACGCTCTGTCCATTCAACAAAATCGTGACTTATCTTGCGAGGCTTTTTTTCATATCATGCCGTTTAGTTTTCTAGTGACGTCCGACATGAATATACAAATGGCCGGAAAGGCATTATCTTCGATGCTCGGAACCATACTAGTTGGAAGTCGTGTAGATGCAGTTTTTACCTTACGACGACCACAAAGGGAATTTTCCTGGGAAAATGTAAGTGAGTTTTACAATTGTATAATTTTTTAAACAAATTAGTATTCTTATTCTAGACACTGACACTCACCAGAAAGAAAGAATTTATTTTCGCTCGTGAATTGGTAAATTTACATAGCTTCAAGATTATGCTGTGAATTGATACTGCAAATGCAATCTTTCCCTCGCGCATGAAAGAAAAAAGAGAGTCGAGGTTGAGCTTTTTTTCCATTGGAAAACCTCGATTGTATATGCAACAGAAAATTTAATTAAACAAAGTCATCGGAACTAGTGCAGCGAATGATTTAGCAGTGTTTCCTCATGGTAACGTTGACCGAATTTCCAATGACGATGACGCCAATTTTTGATAGATATGTTTACAAAAATAAGCTCTCTGAATAACGGTAATTCTTTTTAACATGTACTTCGTTGTGAAAAAAGGCGGTTTTTTTTAATCCTACCATTATCTTTGGTGTAATTTACATCTGCATCCAGCCTGAACGACAATGTGACATTAATACTGGCCCACGCTCCAAAAACGATTTTTTTTTTTTTTCGGAAGCGCAAAAATTTTGATGCCAAGATCAGAAACTCAGATAATTGTCACTATTTTCCAGATTTTATAAGTGATTGTTAGATAAAGAGTGAGAGTTTTCGTTCAAGTTCAGCTTTGAAACTAACGCACTTTCACTGAGTCAATGGATGATGCATTAAGTAAAATGTTTGCAAATGCAGGTGCTCGCAAAAATAATCTCCTGCGCATCCGGGGCCTATATTTCCCGTTATTGTTTAACTTTGATGAAATGCTTCTTCTTATCCGTGCAGATAAAATCATGGAATGTCATCTGCGAATTAGTCGCCAAACGTCCATGCTTGAAGAATCACTCCATCGAAAAACCTCCTCTGAGAGCTGTTAAATCAGTGGATAAAGCAGATTTTATGGTACCCAGAGACACGAACCACAATGTGGAACTTAGAAAGATATTAGACAAAACTGAGCATCAGAACGGTTTTGCGGGCCTTAAATCACGGCGACATAGTGACCTTCCTCTAAATGGCACTTTGGTGACAAAATTTTGTGGAAATGACTACTCGGCTAAAGTGTTTAGACCTTTACATCTTAGAGGTCAGATGAAATATCTGAAGAAATACGATATGGTGTTGTTCATTTGCTCTCCCATGTAAGTTCCTATTTAATATACACTTCAACCCATCTAAGGTTGCTAAAAGGCCAACCACATGACAGTCAGCTGACTGATTGAATGACTGATAAACTGACCAACGTACTGACCGACTTACTGACTCATTCACTCACTGACAGACAGACTGACTGACAAACTGCCTCATTGACTGACAGACTGACAGACTGACTGACTGACTGACAGGCTGAGTGACAGATTGAATGACTGACTGACTGACTGACAGACTGACTGACTGACAGACTGACTGACAGACTGACTGACTGACAGACTGACTGACAGACTGAGTGACTGAGTGACTGACTGAGTGACTGACTGACAGACTGACTAACTGACTGACAGTTTGACTGACTGACTGACCGACAGACAGACAGACAGACTGACTCACTGACTGACTGACCTTGACTTCCTGACTAAGTGACTTGACCAACTGACCTAACTAGTAGTCTGACTCACAGATTCATTAACTCTCCGAAATTTTAAAGCTATTTCATGACTTTTTTCCACTATTGGTGTCTTTCCTTACATTATGATTTTACTTTATCGTGTCCAAAGGAAAACTTTGTATATTTTTATCCAATCTGGCGTTAACTCGACCATCAGATATTCTTGCAAAAACAATATTTGAACGACGATGAACATCTGAAAGATAATATTATGCCCGAGTATTTTTGCATGGACATTATATGTTCTTGGAAGCTCACTATTTTAACGAGTGTCGTTTACGGAAAGCTGTTCACCTCTGCCAAAAGTTTATCTACGGACAGATGTGATGTATTGCTTGCTTGGAGTACGGAAAGTAGAAGTTTCATTTTTTTTCTGTTAGTCTTTGAGTAAGACAAACCTTTCACTTCTCTTGAGCCATCAGCACAAAATCTCATTACTAGTAAACATTTCACACATTCACAAAAACACGTGAACTTGATTTGTGGATGACAGACGGGGTGAATCACTGGCAAATTGTATTTGGGGTAATTGATTTAAACTGGCGTAAAAGCAGCGGGGCTAAGTTTGTCACATATTTAGCATCTTATTCAATCTTTAGGATAAGCAGTGTAGAAGAAATGGCTCGCACAGGGATGTACATTAGTGATCTGGAAATGCATAACTCCTCGCAAGAGATGGTTCTATCTGGCATCCAGCCTCTCCCAGAGCTTGAATATGCACGTGATCAGGTACCAGGAGACTTTGTGGTGTTAATGATAGGATATCATGCAATGCCCAGTAGCATTGCGTGACATCCCAGACAACGGGCTGAATGAGCAATGAGCTGCCGCCACGATGTCCTGTTGTTTTGCTAGTATTATTGCTATTATCATTATTAGTATTATTATTATTATTATTATTATTATTATTATCATTGTTATTATCGTTATCGTTATTACTTTTATTGTCGTGATTAATTTATGAGAGTGGTACAAGGAGGGTTTGACCCTTACAGGCAGAAACCATTGCCACTTAGATTCCCGAATAACAGCTGGCGTATGCATATAAATATTACAATCACATTACTTTTTTACTGGGTCAAAACGGTATGTTTAGTGTACAATGGAAAGAAATCAACAGGAAAACTCACACAATAAAAACCCAAATTTGATTGAGTAAAAGAAAAGTTCCCATGATGGTTAATTTTTCCCTTCAAGCTCTTGGAACGAGGGAAGATGCTAGAGGTGAATTTAGAGAATCTTGATCAGGAAAGGCAGAGGAGCGAGGAACTTCTCTATCGAATGATGCCAAAAGCTGTTGCTGACCGATTACGAGATGGTCAGAAAGCTGTTGAAACTTGTGAGGTAAATTAGTGTGAACATAAAACAGTTTTCACTTTCGATGGTTGTAAATTCTTACTTCTAAATTACTAAAGGAGCTGTGTCATATGATCTGTTTATGGCCAAAAGTATGTAAAAAATTGTTTAAATTAAGAAAGGGTTAGCCTGCAGCGTGGAACCATCGAGTTATGGATGCACGCGGGAGGTTGCTAAGCACGAAAGATTCTCTACTAGATTCTCTCTAGATTCTCTCTAGATTCTCCTAGCTTCTTGAGTGCTTAGCAAACCTCCCAAGTACATCGATAACTCGATGGTTGAACGCTGCACGCTAACCATTTCTTTTATAACATAGAGACTTTCAAACATATTTCGTTTCGTGTATAAATATTTAATTGTTCAACCAGCTGATTAAGCTCCTTCCTGCTCACTCAAGTAGCTCGCAAATATTGAAGTCTAGGCTGGAGGCCCGCGCCAAAAAAATTGAACTCGAAATTTGGCAGCTCACAAGAATTATCTTCCTTATCTCCGGGAAAATCACAAAATTTTTCCATATTTCAGGAGCAAAATATCCACAGAAAACAGGAATTATGTTGTATATGGCGGCAACATCGACGAAAAAAGTTGCCGTGAAAAAAGAAAAAAGCAAAACAAACTGACGTCAGCGTGCAACCCATAGGAAAATGGATTGAGCATATAAGCCAATCAGAGCGCGCGCTTTTGTAAAGCTATGTTATAAACTGCTTTATTCCAGTACTTTAAGACTATTAGAAATGTGAATGTAATTGTAAGAATCCTCCGACATAATGGATTCTGGGGAATAGAGACAGGCTGGTACCTTGCGCGTCGTACCCTGAATCGAGAGATTCGATTTCGGACCTCAGTCCGTGTTATCAGTTGAAATTTGTATTCTTGAGTGAGAAAATTAACAAATCGAGAGTGGTTTAACGTGGTCTGCACTCTTATCGACAACGGTGTTCTTCGTCACAGTGGTCAAAATGAACTGGCCTCACGAGGTGCAGCCTTAGTCTTGACGACAATAAATCAGGGAATTGTGCTAAAACTTTTCGCCTCTAAATTGTCTTTTATCCTTCTTTCCTTTCCTTTCAAGCATTTTGATAGTGTCACCATCATGTTCAGCTACCTGGATAATTTTGACAACATTTGCGCCAGTGTTTCACCAATGGAAGTGGTCAGTCTAGTCAATAAGATGTTCTTGAATTTTGATAAACTGAGTGAAAAGCACGACGTCTACAAGGTACGTAGAATTCAGTAAATGTGTATGAGTAAAAACAATACTTGTATTAAAAAAAAAAAAAATGGTAATAATCGAAAAAGGGTAAGATGCCACAAGAAAGTAACAAATGTGAAATAATTTCAGTGGCAAAAGACCAACTTGAAAGAATGATCCCTATACCTTCGTGAAGTACAACGGAGACATTTTGAGGGATGAAGAGCACTTTGTGCGTTATGGTTACTGCTTGTTGGTGGGAGGAGAAAAGGAGGTGATTTCCAACCCAGAGCCACCTGAGCTCATCAAAAATACGGCACAGCTCGTAGAAATATTCAGTGATACTACACACCAAAAGTTCTTAGAGGTTTTTAGTGGGGAAAAATTGCGAAGTAGCAGTGTCGACTCTTCCATGCACTAAACTTAGACTTACATCCAGAAAAAAAAAAAAAAAAAGGAACTTAGATTTCCCCGGGGTCCCTGTCTTTCCGGAATTCTTACGTACAAAATTCCTTTATACAATGAATATATGAAGTTCATACATTTTGAAATACGGTATTAAATACGTATGATGCACGATCCTATATATGAAAATATATGAAACTTCATATATTCATTGTATCTGATTTATCATCACGGGTTTATTACGAGTCAACTTAAGGGCCTGCTCCCAGTTGGCTTGTTACCTCAATTGGTAGAGCGCTGCACTAGTATCGCAGAGGTCAGTGGTTCGAATCCCGTACAGGCCTGATTTTTTTCAGGTCTGATTTTCGCTATTGCATAAATAGCGCTATCTACTGCGAAGGATCGTGCATCATACGTAAAATTCCTTTAATTTCATTTCAATCGACTGAATAAATCGTTGCTCTGGCTGCAACTATATTGCCTTCCCTCCGAACATTCTACAGAGCTCAGGCTTTTTGCGGATATCTCGGAAAACAAACTTACGTTCAAGAGACTTCTATGAATAATTTTGCAAAATTGACACAATTCGAGGCTTGGGCTTGGATTGCCCTTCTCTTTTTGCTATATTTTTAATTTTCAACTTTATTAACGGAAAATTGAAGTCTGGTATTGAAGTACTAGATGGCTTTTTCAGTTTTCCACTTTTCCTATAGTATCCAGCTGTCACGTGACAAATCCCAATAATCGCAAAATCTTTTTTAGTTTGAGACCCTTGGGGACGCGCAGTATATGGTGGTCAACGGTGTACCAGTTAGAAAGGACCGACACGTGGAGCCTGTGGCTGCAATGGCCCTGGATATTTTGGATTCAGTTCGAGAACTGAAACATCCCACTTCAAAGAAATCATTAACTGTCTCAATAGGTGTGTTGCCAACAAGTAGGAGGGGGTGATTTGATATAGTTTGATGTAGACGGGGTAAATGAACAAATAGGTCAAGAGAGAATCGTCAGTCGATTTTTCCCAGTTATGAGGAACAAACTGAATGTTGAAAACGACCTTTTGCCTAAATCTGTATATCTGTGTTCAGAATTTTAGGTATATTCCGAGTGAAAAATGGTAAGAATTTTGACGGATTGTTTTGGGAATTATCGTTATTACACCTCATAAGGAGATGTTTCACCAAAGTATTAGGGATTTATCATCTTGAATTTCAAGTACGCATGTTAAAAAACAAACTCATATAGAAATAAAACATCTTTAATTAGTGTTCTTTACGAAATCTTTATTCACAAGCAAACTGATCTGGTTATTTGGTCTCTCTAACACAGGGATACATCTTGGGCCGGTGGCAGCTGGACTCGTGGGGGTAAAAATGCCACAGTACTGTCTGTTTGGTGATAGCGTGAACACGGCGGCAAGACTCAGAACAACTTCTCTTGTAAGATTTCAGATAGGCATGGCGTGCTTTTTTTGACTGTGCATTTTTTGCAAGAATTATAGCCAAAGTAATAAATGTTATGAAATTGATCAATGTTGTGAATCAATCAATCGCAGTCGATAAATAATGATGTCAATCGGCTCGTCGGTTAACAAATAGGTAGTTAAATTGTTAATGTGATGTTCCTCAAAACGACCGTGGTAAAGTGGTTTTGTGTTTTGTATCCATTATTCTAGATTCTCCTTTCCCTAGCCATTTTTCTCTTTTGTTTTTTTCATTTTATTTTGTTAGAAAGATATGAAATACGAAGATACCATTCTCATTAAATAAAATGCAAAATCTTACACCCGTAAAAGATAATAAAATCGACTCTAATACAAGCTTTATTATCTATTAAAAGCCAATGAGGATTCATATAAGTCAAAGCTGCCACGAAAGCTTGAGGGAGATCGGCTTTCAAACAGAGTTTCGGGGTCGAATAGAACTAAAGGTATGTTGTACTTTTAACACGATTGGTGTATTGCTGTGTTCGCAACGATATACTGGACCTTAAGTTGATGGTTAATGTGAGCGAATGAACAGCACCAGCGTTAATTAAAAAGAGATTTTACATGGAAACTCTCATAACGTGCTTAGAAATGCAGTCCTTAAACAGTTAAGCAAATAGACTTGCAAATTATTGCATTAAACAGCATCGAAGAGTCCAAGAGATTCTTTCACGTCTACTTCAAATGGTAGATACGATTTAGGTTGAAACAAAGAAAATAACAATGACAATGGTGATGATTTTGATGAAGATGACGACGATAGTCTGACGGTTTGAGGTTTGACGCATTTTTCTCACCGTAGGTGATCGATGTGGATATGGTCGAAGGTAAACGTTTTGAATGGGTCAAATGAATTACTATTGCAATACATCTATGTTTTTTTTCTTATCAGGGAAGAGGAAAGATGCATACTTATTGGTTGATAGGCAGGAAGAAAGCGACTGAAATGCAAGACCCAGCTTCTTAATGAAAGCTATACTCAAGATCATGAGGATAGGGAAAGAATTGCTGATCAATGAATTTCTTGATTGTTAAACAAATTCTCGTTGTCAGTGCTATGGGAAAGGTATAGAAAGCTCGGTTTTAAATTATCACCTCCTTTCCTATTCCTATTTAATACTTGTTTTGGGATTTTATTGGATTTAACTTATTTTTTCACAGTATTACTGAAGAGCGACATAGCCAGCTGAAAATTAATGTTTACACGTGACCTGCACCAACACAACTTGTGCAAATTTTCATACGTATTTAAGAGTTTAAGTCAGTATATTTATAACCTTCTTTTGAGGATGGATAGTTTTGTTGCTAATTAAAAGGAGTTTAATAAAAAAAAAAATGCAAAAACAGTTTTAAAACATTGTGGTTGATATGTACATATATTTGATGGACATCGAAAGGTGACCTTAATAACGAAAACGACCTTTCCAATTTTCTTCAGAGTATACATGTTTTTATCTTTAAAGACTTTCCGTCTGGTTAACTTTCCCCTCTACTTGAAGATCACTCTTTATTTGATTCTTCCTTTTGTTTTGAATTTTCGTTGTTTGTCTGCTTTTCATCTGAAGACGTTACGCTCAGTAATCTATAGAGAAAATGAAAATGTGACTATTAAATTACAAAAAATTAGATAAACAAAAAAATGAACAGTCAAATAAGCTTGCAAATAGACATAAATTCGGCTATAAAGTCATAACTTGCAATGTTCATGTGGTAATATATATCTTTATTTCAATACTGCGGCATACAGATATTGCCCGGGAGAAACCTGCACACAAAAACTACATTTTTATTGTGTTGCCGTCCGAATATGGCGGTCTGGACTAACATATACTACGGAGGTTATTCGGAGTTACAGATTCGGACAAGGTGAATGCCACTTTTTAACAAGTAATGCTGTTAGCTTGCGTCCTCTGTTGATGGAAAAATTGATATATTACTCTAGAAATACACTACAACTTGAACTAATTGAGCCTTCAAATATACAAAGGAGGATTTGGTGTATTATACGACTGTACATACTTAAAAAAAAGTGTCTAATATGCATCAAACACATTTTCACCTAACAGGCTCTCAAAGTGTGGCTCATAAAAAACAGAGGAAATATTACGTTCACGACATAACCGTCACAAAAATGTGTCAGCTCAACACTATAGCATCGGTTTGCAACCAGACTGAGTACAGGAAGCAATTTCACAACCATGCCTGTTTTTGCAACCTCTGTTGATCATTTTAAATATCTTTTCATTTACACAACTGCGCGTAAAAAGGTTCTCGACGTCAAGTGTACCATTCACACGCAGCACCACGCACCGGGTAGCCATTGGACATTCGGTCATCATCATTTCATTGTCGCATCGCTGGGAATTCTTGCCTAGCGGACAGGTGGGGCACCTAAAGGAAGAATCTTCGCGGATTTCATTCTCTGTAGAAATTTCTGTCACATTAGCTGTGCAGCCTGGCTGGTTACACACCGTCACGTGATAATTTCGCTTTCGATTACATTCCCATTCCATGGAGCTCCCACGCCTGCAGTTTTTTGTCAGCACACCAAGCATCTTTTTATTGATACACTTCCTCGTGAAGACTTTTTCATCCCACAAAGCCAGGCAGAAATCAGCTTTAGGGCAAGTTGTGTTGGTGAGAGTAGCAGCACAGGACTCCTCTGAAGTGCTTTGACATGTTGGACACCAGAAAGGTTTTGTCACCTTTTATTCCTCTTCATGATAACGATCTTTGGTCACTTTAGAAAAATCTGCTTTGCAGCCTGATTGATTACAAAATGAAACGTGGAACCGCCTCTTTTTGCGGCATACCCATTCTTCGGATCTTCCAGCTCTCGTGCAGTCCTTGGTCAACAGTTGACGCATCTTCCTGTTGACGCACTTCCGAACGAAAACGTTCTCATCCTGCAGTGTCATACAAAGGTCTGCCTTGGGGCAGGTAGTTTGTGCCAAAGTGGAGTCACATGACTCTCGGGAGGAGCTCTGACAGGTTGGGCACAAAAATGGGTCACTTTCGGGTTTGTTTACTGCCCCTGGTTCCTTAGCTCTGCAGCCTGATTGTTCGCACCAGGACAAGTGGTATGGTTTATTTCGTCGCCCGCATTTTCGCGCTGTGGGGCTAACATTGGCACAATTTTCCGTCAGCAGATCGAGCATCTTTCTGTTGACACATTTCCGAGCAAACATGTTTTCGTCCCAGACAGATAAGCAAAAGGTTGCCTTGGGACAAGTTGTGTTTGTCAAGCTGCCATCACAGGATTCCTTTGTGGGTCCCTGACATGTAGGGCACCAGAAATCGCTTGTTGTAGCTTTACCTTTGAGAGGAAAAAGGCAAAATAAGTCAGGAATTTTAGCAATGGCTGGCAACTACAAGAGCTTTTCTTTTCTTTTCTTATAATTCTTCACCGAATTGTTACTCTGTCAGTCATAACATTGTGTCTACATTGAAGGTAGGCTATGCATGGAGTAGAATTTCAAAGGATTTTAGTCAAGATGGTCCATACATTGCCTTCTTGTCAAATAGCGATCATAGGTTCCTAAAGTACGCTATCTTCTTTCGTGTAAGTGAAAACCCAAATATTCAAATAATGTGACAGGCTTACGTACCTCTCTTTTGCTCCTTCGTGTGGTTGGGGTTCTTTGTTAGCTGTCTACGACCGGCTACGGACACCATTACCATCCAACATAAGAGAAAGACTGCGGTCCAATAAAGAGACGCCATTTCTGCAATGTGAAGGGAAGTCGAATCATTTAACTGAGATTGCAAATTCTTATTATCACGGAGAAAATATTCCCGACAAACATAAGCAGCTTGTTTCAAGTCGTGGAACCCTCTCTTCCACCAATTACAAAGCTCAAAAACCTGGAAACTATAGCTATAACTACCCCCTGATCAAATAGTGCGTTCTACTATTTGTAAGCTCCTCGCAGGCAAAAACTATTTTCCGAATCACCTCGTCCAAAATCGAGAATCAGGGGCCATTTGACGCACCTAGCTTTATGAAGCTCGTTATTTTTCATACGAGATTGATCACTATCATTATTTTATCGGTTTAGATTTCTAACTGCGGGCTGACAAATGATAAATGCATGTATTATTTTCAATTAATCTAGTTTTGTTCTTTGTGAAATATGGTTTACCTTCATTGGGGTTACTGTGTTTTAACATTTTGCAAGTAAGTACTTGTAAGTACTTAAAAGTATTCCAATTGTACTTTAAAACATTTCAAAATATCCTTTTCCTTGCAAGATGTCATCAACATAGATATATATACGATACGCGCCTTTTAATTTTCTCCTTATGTGTTTAGTCTTGTTTTAAGATTTGTTAAATTTTGAGTAAGACACTAAAACTGCGGTATTTTTTCTCAGATATATGACTTGCGGGAGGTATTTTAACCGGAATGAAGAATACAGATCGCTCTCTGGAGGGCCTATGTACCGGAAGGAAAAAGAACTTATGTCGGCAAGCGCTTAAATGCTTACCAACTGGGATCGCTCTCGCATGTACTGTTTAATCCTTCAACAAGGATAGAACGCTTAAAAAAAATCATAGAATATGACCTTACAGGAACTTCAGACTGATTTAGCACAGTTTGCTTTAGGCGCGAGGCCAGTGATTGGGAAGATTTTTGAACCTCTCATAGAGAAGAAAGGAAACGATATGTTTAAGCTTGTAATGTATCCGGGCAATTTTCCAGTTTTATGACAAAGCTAAAACGTTGTTTTGCGCAAATGCTTTGGTCGTTGTTACTTCAATCATTTTACCATCGTCATGTGGGAAACAACCTCATGATACTTTTGCGTCGAGTTTCAATGTTATTTACCTGAGTGATCATGCATCTTTCAGGAATTTATCTTTAAGGTAACATGCCATTTAACCTAACCTTGCTGTAGAATCTTGAAAGCCTGATCAGAAATAAAGTCGTTTGATATGCAATATTCAGTTAATTTTGATATGAATCAAATGTAACAACAGGTGTTACATTAAAATTGACAAGAACGCTAAATAAACCTTGGCTCTAACATAGCTCTGAGGAGTCACATTTACAAAGATCATTAGGAGAGTTTTAGGATTTTTTAATCGTAAAACTATTGAGGTATTAAAATGCTTTAAGAATGATCGAAGAATTTTTATTTGGTGCGACGCTCTTTAATTAAGTCGGCGAGTTTTACATTTTGTGGATGCTACAGGTTGATTTGATCTCCGCAATCAGGATGTGTTGAAAATGCATTTAACTTATCACTTCGCTTATCTTTGAAAAATGCTCGTAATTTTCGGTTGCAAATTGCTTTAAAATGAACTGATTTTTCGATTAAATTGTTGCTGGCTGGCCAAGTGATATTAGTGAGATATCGACTTTAAAATCTCACGACATCAAGGTCATCGAGTGCGGAATTAAGCTGAGACTCTCCTTTCAGCGTCCGACCTGTTTTAAACTGATTGACTGCTTTTTTTTTTTAGTATGATAGACCTAATCCCTTACCTTTGTTAACATCTTTTTGAGTAATTAGAAACACTCGCTGATAAAGGAGAAACAGCGTGTATGCAGAGGCAGATTATGATTATTATCACGCGCACTTGATGCAACTTCTGTAGATCTACCCCGGCGCGCTCCCTGACTTTCCGTTAATATGACCGCAAAACGTGCGCCACGCGCGTTTCCTCTTGTTCGCATGAGTTTTATGTAGAGCTACAAAAGACAACAGCAAAGATGGTGACAGTAAAGCAAAAAAAACTACAGCTTACCTTTACTATTGATCAGTGGTTTAGGAATCAAAATTCTGCCTTAACTGCTTCTCTCCTTTGTGGTACTGGCGACTAATGACCTTTTTCATGGGGTTGACTGTTTTTAACCAAACAGTGGGTTGGGTAGAAGTCTTAACATTCTAGTGAAAAAATAAACACAATGGAAAATTGCACGAAAGTCTAAGTTAACCAGTAGTTCAAGTTTTTGTGTCATTTAACCACTGAGTGGCTGGCTGGAGGTTAATCTTTTGAAAGATTCCAAGGGAAGTTTCTTCTAATGTTACAAGATATAGTTACTCGATTCGAATCTTAAAATAACCTTGTAATTGCAAATGACGCAAATGAAATAAAATGTTGAAATCGCCCTAACAATTTTGGAATATGAAAATATGCGAGTAATTACATCAAGGGCACTTTTCCCTTGATTAAAATTGTAGTAGTTCTGGGTTAAGATCTAGAAGTTTAGTGTTTTGGTATTGAGGGGAAATGACTGCAACTTGATATGTTGTAACGAAGCGAGTTTAGGAATTCTTGTTACGTAACAAATTACATGTCAGGTTTTTATGCAGTGATACGAGAGAAAGACGTGCAAAGATCCTTCATTGAATGTAGGTACCTCAGAAAATGTCCTGTTAGCTTGATTTTACTGTTAATCATATCATGGCTGAGGTATTTTGAAAAATTCCTAAACAGAAGAGAAAAAAAGTATAAACACCCATGGGATGAGGAGCAGTCAAGAAAGCAGAGCATCTCGACTTAAATCTAATGCAATGAGAGTTAGGCCAAAAGAACTGCTAAAATGCTCAGAATTTGACTTGAATGAGCCCTAGCTACACCATGTGATCCTATTTGATACGACACTGGCAGTATATAGCACTGTTTCTACGAAAATCCAACTCGACCTTCGTATACCTGTCGCAAGAATGTGAACTAAGGGTAAACATGTTGTGCGCGCACTCCCCCCCCCGTCCCCGCTGTTGAAAGATGATTTTAAAACATATTAGCCAGCAATGTACACGAGTTGTTTGCGCTGAATAACATATTAAATGAAACATGCACGTGTTCAACACACTGCATACGTCTATGTTCAGATGGAAAATACCGCACTGATTGTGAACTTTACCCTTAGCTTTCATGTAAACACCGCCAGACCTAAAAAGGCCAAAACCGTCGCTATCATATTTTCAATACTTGAGGGGAAATTACGGAAAATTCAATTGTAAACTGAAGGTTTATTTGTTCTTATAACCTCTCATTTTCTTAAAAAAGAAACACAATGCCTTATCCACTGGCTACTTACATTGATTCACCATAAATTTTTTCCAGAATAAACAAACCAGACGACCGTCATCTTTTTCTCAGTCACATGGATTTTATTTCTTTTTGGTTTACCTATATTGGTCTTAAAGATTCAAATGTAGCTTTCCAGATATTAGATGACAAAAGCCGCCAAAACGTCTGCCAAAAGCCGCCAAAAGTCTGCGTCAGGCTAGTAGCCCACACAGCCTAAGCGACGAAATATTTCTACTCTCCCTTCCTCATCCATCACATGGTTTCTCCCCGTTTCAAATTCGCCTCCAGTCATTTACACACGTGTAGGATGTCT